GTGCTTGCTTTACCCTTCTCCAGCTGCTTGATCTTGTTGTTAAGGTTGGTGATTTGAGTGGAGAAGTCGGTTAGAGATGAATCAAGCCTAGTGTTCATTTCAGCGAACTTCTGATTGGTAGAAGCTTGCCCTTGTATTAGTTGTTGGAACATTGCTTGAACCGGATCAACTTGTTGTTGCATCGGTTGTTGTTGCTGAGGTGCAAAGCCCGGAGGGTAGTTAGGAGTATAACCCTTGTTTTGTTGTTGTTGCCCTTGAAAGTTGCCTTGCCCTTGACCTTGGAAACCACTACTCGGTTGAAAACCTTTGTTGTAAGGGATGAAAGGTTTAGCTTGTTGAGCAGGGTACACTTGATCTTTAGGGTTGCTCTGAAAATTGTTATGTAGTGATATGGTATGAACAAGTATCTATATTTTGCAGGCTTTATTTAAAGCGAGATTCGAAACAGAGCAGCAGCTAAGGCGAATGGGTATTAACCCGGAAGATCCGGTTGCGATGGCTAGAGTAAAGAGAGTGGCCCACGTTCTAAAATGCAATCAACAAGAAAGAAGGTAACCCGTATGTCTTCCATGGAGATAAACAATCACAAAGAGGGTCTACCGTCGTAAATACAGAAGAATCAGAGCGAGAGCCGGGTGATGAAGATAGTGACCAGGAGGAGCTAGACAGATTCATAATTGAGATAGAAGATGCAACAGACAAGGAGTGGGAGGAAGAGGAAGTTGCGGAGCAAGACGAATCTGGTAGAATAAGGTATTGGAACCGAGAAGAGTTTGCAGGAAGAAGCAGAGGACCTGATATGGCAAAGGAACCGAAAACAACAAGATCTCCCCACCACGAGTCCGGATCCGGGTCCCTGAGTTCGACAACTCAAACCTCATCCAAGACAACCAGCTAACCTTAATGGGAAGACTAACAAACCCTTCAGAGCAACGAATGTGTGCCATGATACCTTTCTTCCCTAAGAGGTGGAGTTGGAGGGGAAAAGCCCTAGGTTCTGACCTGGCTAGGGGCTTTTTCCAATATTGCTTTGACTATGAAGACGACCTCCTGAAAGTCCTTGAAAATCAGCTTTACCATTTTGCTTACTGGATGGTAATTTTCCAAAGGTGGGAACCGACGGTCTCGAGATCCTTCCTGTCTCAGATCCCTTTTTGGATTCGCCTCAAAAGAATACCTTTGCACTACTGGAACTCAAATACACTCCGCAGCCTAGGTGAAGGAGTGGGTACCTATTTGGACAAAGAACTCACTAAAGTCTTTGCAAAAATCAAGGTACAAGTAAATGGACTTGAGCCTCACATCCAAGAAACTATTCTAGACTTCTCAAACGGCGATGAGGCACTAGTCACCTTGATATACAAGAAGATTGAAAACCACTGTTCCAAATGCTTACGTCTCACACACTCGGCAAAAGAATGCCCGGACCACCGTCTTCAAGCGACACCCCGCACAAAGTCTCCTCTAAAAACCGTTTCGCAACACCAGAACAGAAAATACTCTTTAGACACTCTCCCCTTGCGGGACGAGAGACGTTCTAGGATCCCTCCCCTGTACCACCAAAACTAGGATGTCAGCTAATGGCAGAGACTATCACCAACGCCAGGATATACAAGATAGACCTTTCGGGGAGAGAGTGTCAGGAAAACCTCAAGGCACTGAGAGAAATGGTACCATAACTACTACCTTCCCAGCCTATCAAAGAGAGGAAGGAATTTCTTACAAAAACACTAGAGAAACGTCTAGCCAAAGATCCTTCCAGAGCTCGGGGAACCAGTCCTATGAACACCAAATACACCTGAGGAACAATCTCAAAACACCTGACGCTTATCACACACCTGCTCAACAATGGAAAGAGAAAATGCCTGAGATAGGGGCCAATAGAGATGAAGCTCCAAACTCCTCGAGGCTGAATCACCTTAATCAAAGCCAAAATTTAAACAATGAGAACTTTCTCCACTTACCTAAAATCCCTACATCAGAGGAAGTAATGGAGGAACTATAGGAAGTCACCATACAATACACCAATGTGGTGGAGCCAGTAGAGCGCGCAGCACGAGTCCGTAGAATCCTCCAAGGGGAGGAAGAGGGACAAATGGCAAAGACAGCGGCAAGCATTATAGAGGAAGCAGCGGTAGCACACAGAAGAGCCCTCTATGCCCGCATAGCATCAATGCCCCTCTCACCTCTTCAGAACTCGGAACAGGCCCTCCAAGCTTCGGCCTTTCCTCAAAGATTGGATCTCTCCCAAGAGACTGATATAGTCCCCTTAAAAAAACGCCAGGGAAGACCCCCTCTCTCAAGAACCACAGCTACAGGGTCATCAAGTATGCATGGGGAAAACTTGAGAAAAAGAAAGATGCAAGCTATTAGAGCATCTCCTAAACCTCGTCAAAAAAAAAAGACAAATTCAATCCAAAGTAAGGGAATTACCAAGAATACAAACCATGACGAGGCGGGACCGAGCAAAGTCCAGAGAAGACAAAGCCCATCCACAAGCCAAGGAGGACAGCAAGTAACAACGACGCCTACTATGACAACGACAAAAGCAACCAACCCAACATCAACAGAGGATTTTCGGGAAGAGAGGCCACCTCTTCCTTAGCCATAGCATCTTGGAGTTGTTGTGGGTTGGGGAACCCCATGACAATCCAAAGAGTGAAAGAGATACACAAAAAGATCTCACCGGATATACTGTTCCTCATGGAGACAAAAAATGAGGACAACTACATTCAAAGAAAACTCAAGCCAGTCTTCTATGACTTTTAACATATCGTATCCCCGCATGGAATAGGAGGCGGACTGGCTCTTCTCTGGAACAAATCTATCGACCTACAAGTCTTCTCCGAATCCCATAACTTCATTGACACAGAGATCACTTTCAAAGGTAACAAATTCAATGCAACCTTTTTGTACGGAGAACCAAACTGATCTAAAAGAAAAACCGTATGGAAAAAACTAGAGGATATGTGTAAAGACAGAGACACTCCCTGGTTCATAATGGGAGATTTCAATGAGATTAAAAATAAATCAGAAAAATCGGGGGGCCAGCTAGACCGAAAGGAACTTTTGTCGATTCCCCGCTCATTCATGTCCACTTGTGACCTCTACGATCTTAGACACTCAGGAAACTACCTGTCTTGGAGAGGCTATCGCAGCTCACACTATGCCTTCTGCAGACTAGACAGAGCCTTGTCAAATAGTGCCTGGGCCGAACTCTTCCCTTCTGGCAGATGCAACTATTTAGAGTTTAAGGGATCTGACCACAGACCCTTAATCTCCTATTTTGAACCCCAAGATACAAAGAAAAGGGGGCTTTTCAAGTATGACAGACGCCTGCGTCACAACGCAGAAGTAAAATAGTTAATAGCCACTACATGTAATATCTAAAGGTGGAGCAGTAAATAGCAAACTGTTGAAAAGCCATTTCAAAATGGAACCATGAAAAGTACCAAAACAGCCGGAAAGCTATTGAAGCCCATAAAAAAGACTTGGAAGCAGAAATGGTGAAACTACAGCCTGACGAGAACCGCATCCAGACATTAAATGGCTGTGAAAACAGGTATGAGTAAAGCCTATGACATGCTGGAATGGGATTTCATTCGCACGGTCCTAACTACGATGGGGTTTGAAGCAAGATGGATTCAGCTAATCATGCAATGCATTACTTCAGTCACCTATTCCTACCTAATCAATGGTACTTCGCAAGGCTTAATCAAACCAAAGAGGGGTAGTAGACAAGGAGACCCTTTAACCCCCTACATTTTCATCCTATGTAGCAAGGTCTTGTCATGCTTATGTCTTAATGCACAAAAGAAAGGAAGCTTACCGGGGATCCGCATAGCCAAAAAATGCAATGGCTAAAACACCTCTTGTTCACAGACGACACAATGTTCTTCTGCAAGTCAAACATGAAGAATTGTGACGCCCTCAAGCTGATCCTACAAAAGTACGAACAAGCTTCGGGCCTACAAATCAATAAGATAAAATCTACTGTAACCTTTGCTACCAAAACGCCTCTAGAGGCAAGAGAGAATGCGAAGGTCTACCTAGATTTCTCAAAAGAAGGGGGAGAAGGCAAGTACCTAGGAATGACATAACATTTTGGGATACAGAAGAAAGACATATTCTCCTCAATTGTTGATAAGATTCGCCAAAGAGCACAAAGCTGGACCTCTTCTCTTCTCTCGGGAGCAGGGAAGATGACAATGCTAAAATCCATCCTCTTAGCACTACCTACATGCTCCATGTCCTGTTTCAAGCTACCAGTCAGCTTATTCAAGAGAATCCAATCCACGCTGACACGATACTGGTGGGATCAAAACCCGGGAAAGCAAAAAAATGTGTTGGGTGGCTTGGAACAAACTCACCAAACCCTTGTCTGAGGAAGGACTAGGATTCCGGGGCATCCAGAACTTCAATATTGCCCTACTAGCAAAACTCACCTGGCGCATCCTCACCAAGCGAACATGCCTACTCTCCTGAATTCTCCAAGGTAAATACTACCAAAAAGTCAACTTCTAACACTGCAATCTACCATCCTCCTCCTCACACGGCTGGCAAGGCATCCTAGCTGGCAGAGACCTCCTCAAAGCTAATCTGTGAATAACGATAGGAGATGGTAAATCAACACCAGTTTGGTATCAACCCTGGTTATCACTTAGCACTACTACCTCTCTTATGGGCCCTCCCACAAAGGAAACTTACTGCCTTATGGTTTCAGACTTAATATCGAAGGATAGCTTATTTTGGAATAAGAAAGTAAGGGACCTCTTAGCAAAACAATCTTCTGCCTAAGACCGAGCTTCAGGGGATCACAAGATGCAAGGGCCTGGTTACCAAATGACTCGGGAGTGTACACTACCAAGTCAGGATACCACTCAACCACCTCTCTTAGCACCCCGAAGGAAACCTTACAGTAGCAAACACCATTCACCTGGATGACGGATTTATGGTCAAGCCGTGTTCCTCCAAAGATTAAACTCTTCTTATGGAAAATCATGAACCGAGCTTTACATGTGGGAGAAAATCTCCTAAGTCGTGGCCTCCTTGAGGGATCATACTGCAACAGATGTGGAGCCTTTGAGACCACAGAGCATTTATTTCTTTACTGCCCTTTTGCAAAGGAGGTCTGGAGCTTCTTCCCATACCAAACTGAGGTAGACTCTTCCACAATCTCTAATTTCACAAATGGACTAACAGCTTCGAAACACAGGATTTGCCTCCCTCCCACGGGAACGGGATCAGGGCCAACCTTTCCTTGGATAGTCTGGAACCTCTGGCTGACAAGAAACCGATTGGCTTTCGAAGCCAAACATTTCTAGGCCCAGGAGACAGTTTTCAAGACCCTATGAGATGCGCGAGAGTGGCAACTCGCTCAAGCGCCCCTGGAGCAGATCAAACCAAAGATGAATCTCAACCTACCCCGCAACCAAACCTGGCAAATCCAGGTCTTCACAGATGTAGCTTGGCGAGCAGACTCAAAAACGGCGGGACTCGGCTGGGTTTTCAAAGATCAAGCGAACACATGCATATATCAAGGAGCACGGATCGAGCTATCGGTTGCTATCGGTTGCTTCTCCTCTCATGGCTGAAGCCCTCGTCATACTCGCAGCTCTCCAAAAAGCCAGTGAAGCAAATAACAATCGGTTTCTTCGGTAAGAAGATCGGTAAAGAATGGAGAAAAAAAGTATAAGAAGAAGAACAATAACTTGAGAAGAAGAAGAGAGAATAAGAAGCAAAAAGAAAAAAGAAGTATAAGAAGGAGAACAACTACGTGAGAAGAAGAAGAGAGAATAAGAAGGATAAAGAAAAAGAACGGAGAAGAAAAAAGAGGAAAAAAAAGAAAAAAGACAAAGAAAGAGGAAAAAAAAGACTGAAAAAGAGAGAATAAGAAAGTAGTAGAAGAAGAAGAACAAATAACAACAGAGAAGAAGAATTCGTTGAAAATTTATCTCTCTAACCTGATAAGCATTAACATTGATGGTCTTGTTTATTTATTATATAATAATTATATACATCTATAAAATTCTAACATGTGAATTTTAAATAGATAATTATCATATGTCCAATCAAATCAAATTCTATATTAAACTTATGTTTACATAAGATTGAATTTGTTACGTCTTTAACTTAAAAATTCTGTACAAACAAATGTGATGTCAATCAAATTCCAAAATACTTATCGCACATGAACTCCAAAATCTAATTTCAATCCTTAAAACATATAAAGCCAAGCTATAATTCTTATAACTATAAAAGTACATATTCTAAATCTCATTAATCAGATTTTATTTCATAAGTTATATAATTTAATTTTTTATAATTATTTGTTTAACAAAAATAACTTTTTTATACTCATCACACAAAAATAACTAAACTTTATTTTTTAATCACTAATTTTATATATTTTTTTCTCAGAAAATAATACAACGCGCGAACGCGCAGGTCAAAATCTAGTTATTCTGATACTGATAAAATTTATTTTAGATTTTAGTACATATGAAGTAAAATATAAATTATTTAGTAAATCAAATAATAGAGTTTACACTTTACATTGCTACCCTATCTTTTACATTGCACCCATGTTTGGTAAAAACCGATTTGCTGGTTTTTCTGATGAATTTCGTGATACAAACACAACAAATACACTTTGCAATTTGTTTCGAGTTGACTGTTTAATTTGTTTGATTCTCAAGGTTCTTCGTTTTTTATATAAATGGTACTAGTTTTTGTTATCTTATTCAACAAAAAAAAGGTGAGATCTTTAGGAGAATATGGACATTTTTTTTGCTGCTGACAAAATTAAAGCAAATCCAATTCCAAATGTTTTTTAATTTCAAGCAGTAACAAAAATCTATTTTCAGTAATTATAAACATAAAATTGTTTTCCTTATAAAATTTATAGTTAAAATAAAATAAAGTGAGATAAATAAATTTATACTCCTTATATTCCTAGTAAAAAAAATTCAAATTTTCATAGATATTAAAAAGCATTTAAAATTAAAATTTTATTCTTTCTTATTTATATTAAATATTACTTTAGTTTTTTAATAATTAAAAAAACAAAGATAAATTACGAAAAAATAACAATAACTATACTTAGAAAATATAAAACATAAATATTTATTACTAAGAACAAATTATATATCTTTCAACAAATATTTTGTCAATTTAAGCTCATTTTTAAACAATAAAAATTCAAAACACTATATCATTATTCATTTGAAAAAAATTCTACAGTTTTAAAATAATTAATTATCAATTGTGACATATTTATATATTATATTATAGAATTGGATCTATCAAAAATAGAAAAGTATGTAATTATATTTTTTTGTCATCTGATAATATTAAAATTTTCAAAGATATAAGATATGTAATTAGATAGATACAACTAAAATTTCAAGCTTTTTCAAATTTTCGAGAAATCAATTTATTTGTAAAATATCCAAAGATTCCAGATGCGCTACAAATTGTAGCAAATAATAAGAGTGATTTACATCTAAAGATAGTTATTTTTAATATTCAAAGATATTTTTACCTATTAAGTGATTTTACTTTTTTTTTATATACCCAAAAACTCTATTTTGCCATCAATAATTTTTTTTATTTCTTATTCTTTCTTTCCTCTTGCGCATCTTCTTCTCCTTCCTTTCATCCTGCTCATCTCCACCTCTCAACCCTTTCTTTCTCTTCCTTTCCTAATTTGTATCCATCTCACAATCTATAATTTCCATTTCAATTTAATTTTGACCTAATCTATATAAAACCCAAGTCATCTAACCTATATAAAACCTAAGTCATCTAATTTTGACCTAATTTCTATTTGCAGATATTATTGTTATATTATATCTGCATATACTTTGAATACTCTCATACAACTATCTGCTATGGATTTGATAACTTTGATTTTACAATTGACTAGATTCATTATCAAATCTGAAGAATTCGTGAAGCAAATTTCGAGCCTACTTTTTGTGGACAATATCGTGTAGACATATTCTTGTGGATAAACATGAAAACGCATATTCATTCTATATTAGAAATAACCAATATCAGTGGGTAGGGGCTGATGGATACAAATGTGTCTTTTACATTAGAAAATTAATGTGTTTGAATACCAGATTTATAACCTAACAGCTCCAGTGCTAGAGATAGACATAATAGAGAAAGAGTACATAAAATTTGAGAACATATATCTATACAACAATTGCAGAAGATTATTAATTATGGTGAAGGTGGAAAAACAAAAGACAGATTTAGAGTGTTCAACAAGACGTGTAAGAAATAATTTTTGTATCCACGCAACATTGTCCATGCTACACTGTCCATGAAAAATTAGATAACTTGTCCATGATAATCTGTCCACCATTAACTCGTAAGACTTATGATGAAATACAAAATTTGATTAATTTCACATCAATGAAATGAGAAGGCAAGAACATAAATTGTTATGTTAATTCAATTATTATTGCATACTACAAGGATTTAGTTTGGATTGCTAGATCCGTCAATCTGTTGTTACACTTTGAATCAAAAGATTTCATGGATATATTGGCAATGTTCATCCATTATTGACCATAAAAACATGTCTATAACACAAGTTTTACAAGAAAAGCATAGTGGAAAATTTATCATGGACATGATTGCATGGATAAAGTCACTTGGACAATAAAAACATTACATCGTCCACTTTAACCCGTCCATAAAACATGTGTTCGTTTTTAAATGGGTATACATGCTCTCTCAAATCTGGAGAATTCGTGAAGCCAATTTCGAGCCTACTTTTTGTGGACAATATCGTGTGGACATATTCTTGTGGATAAACATGAAAACGCATATTTATTCTATATTAGAAATAATCAATATCAGTGGATAGGGTTTCATGGATACAAATGTGTCTCTTACATTAGAAAATGAATGTGTTTGAATACCAGATTTATAACCTAACAGATCCAGTGCTAAAGATGGACATAATAGAGGAAAAAGTACGTAAAATTTGAGAACATATATCTATGCAACAGTTGCAGAATCGTATGAGATTATTAATTATGGTGAAGGTGGAAAAACAAAAGACAGATTTAGAGTATTCATCAATACGTGTAAGAAACAAGTTTTGTATCCACACAACATTGTCTATGCTACACTATCCATGAAAAATTAGATAACTTGTCAATGATAATCAGTCCACCATTAACTCGTAAGACTTATGATAAAATATAAAATTTGATTAATTTCACATCAATGACATGAGAAGGCAAGAACATCAATTCTTTTGTTAATTCAATTATTATTGCATACTACGAGGATTTATTTTGGATTCCTAGATCCGTCCATCTGTTGTTTCACTTTGAATCAAAAGATTTCATGGATATATTGGCAATGTTCATCCATTATTGACCATAAAAACATGTCCATAACACAAGTTTTACAAGAAAAGCATAGTGGACAATTTATCATGGACGTGATTGCATGGACAAATTCACTTGGACAATAAAAACATTACATCGTCCACTTTAACCCGTCCATAAAACATGTGTTCGTTTTTAGATGGGTATACATGCTCTCTCACATATTTCATCGAACACCTTCAAGTCGTTTTTTTTCTCTTTCAATTTCTACAACTAATTCCTCACACAATCCATAGTTCGTGTTTATCTTTGGATTCAAATTCACTTTTCAAAAAAAAAAAAATATATATATATATATATATATATAGATAGAGAGAGAGAGAGAACACTTTCTGTTTCAACAAGTTGTGGATCTGAGCTAATCTCTCCTTCTGGTCCTTCTTCATCCTTCAAAACTGGTTAAACAGATTGTTGAGAGAGAGAGAGAGAGAGAGAGAGAGAGAGAGAGAGAGAGAGAGAGAGAGAGAGAGAGAGAGAGAGAGAGAGAGAGAGAGATGAAAATATCCAAAGATTCCAGATGCGCTACAAAATGTAGCAAAATAATAAGAGTGATTTACATCTAAAGATAGTTATTTTTAATATTTAAAGATATTTTTACCTATTAAGTGACTTTACTTTCTTTTTATATACCCAAAAACTCTATTTTGCCATCAATAATTTTTTTTTATTTTTTTTTTTTTTCTTATTCTTTTTCTTTCCTCTTGCGCATCTTCTTCTCCTTCCTTTCATCCTGCTCATCTCCACCTCTCAACTCTTTCTTCCTCTTCCTTTCCTAATTTGCATCCATCTCACAATCTATAATTTCCATTTCAATTTAATTTTGACCTAATCTATATAAAACCCAAGTCATCTAACCTATATAAAACCTAAGTCATCTAATTTTGACCTAATTTCTATTTGCAGATATTATTGTTATATTATATCTGCATATACTTTGAATACTCTCATACAACTATCTGCTATGGATTTGATAACTTTGATTTTACAATTGACTAGATTCATTATCAAATCTGAAGAATTCGTGAAGCAAATTTCGAGCCTACTTTTTGTGGACAATATCGTGTGGACATATTCTTGTGGATAAACATGAAAACGCATATTCATTCTATATTAGAAATAACCAATATCAGTGGGTAGGGGCTGATGGATACAAATGTGTCTTTTACATTAGAAAATTAATGTGTTTGAATACCAGATTTATAACCTAACAGCTCCAGTGCTAGAGATAGACATAATAGAGAAAGAGTACATAAAATTTGAGAACATATATCTACACAACAGT